TCAGGTTTTCAAAAGCCAAAACCCTAAGTATGTTCAGTGTTCTGTGGGAATAGAGGAGCCAAAGGTTGTGCCTCTGAAGGAAAGGAGAAAAGAGAAGCTAAAAAGGAAGGAGGGGTCTGTGGTCCTGCAGACAGCAGGGACCCCACCTCATCTGCGGTTCCCAGCCTTGCTGGCAGTTCCCTTGCCCTAAGCAGGGCATGGAAGTTGCAGCGCAGGTGCACGGACCTGACATGCAGCTGGGACAGTGGTCCTCAGAGGGTCTCCTGATACCCTGATGCTACTTGAGTTGCTGGACTCTACTGTCCAGCAAGACATCCAGGGAAGGGAGTGCAGTAAGCCCCGCAATGGCTGGGGCTGAGTTTTTTCCTGCCTGGTGGAAAGAAGTTTGGAATATAAATTAAGTGATATTCCTTGCATGCCTGAATTTGGAAATGTAGTTATTTAAATGGGAAACAAATATAGAGTGATTTCACCATGGGGGAAAAAATCAAAGTTCTTAATTCTACCATGAAAAAAAAATCAAAGTCACAAGTTAATTACAGTGTGAATCTGTTTTGATGACTAATTTGTGAGAACTGAAGAAAAATTTAGAAGTAATCAGCATCAAATTACATTAAGATGGTCAATGAGATCATCCCGGGGAGATAGGTGGTGGAAAGTTATTTCCATGACTAGATCATAAATACTGGAATGGGAAGATTATTGAGAAAATGAAAGGTCTTTCTTCAGAAATGCTTTAAAACAGGAAAGACTGATACCTCTGTCTAGCAAGGCGCCTCAGGGATCGGCTAGATGCCATTGGAAAGTCCTTATTAGGGCTTGTAATTTACACAGAAAGAAACGAAACTCAATAAGAGAATAGGCACACACAAAGCTCAAGTCAGAAAAGGCTTTGGAAGAATCATAAAGAGGGGATCAGGGTTTGTTTTTTTTTCTTCAGGTGGTGGAAAAAATGCCAGAAGTACTAAGATTACATATATAGGAGCATAGATTCAAAGAATATGTTAGAAAATTATCAGGGCCAGGCGGGGTGGCTCATGCCTGTAATCTCAGGACTTTGGGAGGCTGAGGCAGGCAGATCACCAGAGGTTAGGAGTTTGAGACCAGCCTGACCAACATGGAGAAAGCCCCGTCTCTACTAAAACTACAAAATTAGCCGGGCATGGTGGCGCATGCCTGTAATCCCAGCTACTTGGGAGGCTGAAGCAGGAGAATCGCTTGAATCCAGGAGGCAGAGGATACGGTGAGCCAAGATCATACCATTGCACTCCAGCCTGGGCAACAAGAGTGAAATTCTGTCTCAAAAAAAAAAAAAAAAAAGTGTCTCACCCCTGTAATCCCAGCACTTTGGGAGGCCGAGGCGGGCGGATCACGAGGTCAGGAGATAGAGACCATCTGGCTAACATGTCTCTACTAAAAAAATACAAACAAACAAAAAAATTAGCATGGCATGGTGGCAGGCGCCTGTAGTCCCATCTACTCAGGAGGCTGAGGCAGGAGAATGGCATGAACCTGTGAGTTGGAGCTTGCAGTGAGCCGAGATTGTGCTACTGCACTCCAGCCTGGGCGACAGAGCAAGGCTCTGTCTCAAAAAAAAAAAAAAAAAAGAAAGAAAGAAAAAAGAAAATTATCAGTTTGGATAATTGCAAGGAAAATGCAAAAAGTATGAAATGACAGTTTAATTACTACTAATGATAGTGCAATTGCACATCAATATCCACAAAAAATAAATACGTAGGAATATTGGTAGAAAGACTTCTATTATAATGTAATTTTGAGAGGTATATCCTGATGCTTTCATTCTTTCATCTATTAGACATGTTTTACATGTCACAGGCATTCAATTAGTATTAGCAGAATGACTGAGATATGGTGTATGACCTCTTGGGGCAAGTAAACAGCCTGAGTCCCTTTTGTCAAGGATGAAGGGCTTTCACCTCTTGGTCTGTCCACCTGTTCACCCACCTCCTTATTCTTCCCCAGAAAAATTGCTAACTGATTGGGGCGTGCTTATATCGTCTATGCTGCTAGTGGGCCAAAACAGAACATTGGGCCACAGCTGACTATTGTGGAGCACAGTTCACTTGTGGGCTACAAATGACCATTGATAGAAGAGGAACTATAAAATAGTCTTAAACATGGGAAAACACACAAGTTCACAAATGGGAAAGAAAAGCAAACTCCCGTATATGAAGACATCTTTTTTTTTTTTTTGAGACGGAGTCTCTCTCTGTCGCCCAGGCTAGAGTGCAGTGGCGCGATCTTGGCTCACTGCAGCCTCTGCCTCCCAGGTTCAAGCAATTCTCCTGCCTCAGTCTCCCGAGTAGCTGTGACTACAGGCGTGCGCGCCACACCTGGTTAATTTTTGTATTTTTAGTAGAGACGGGGTTTCACTATGTTGGCCAGGATGGTTTTTTTTTGTTTTTGTTTTTGAGACGGAGTCTCGCTCTGTTGCCCAGGCTGGAGCAGTGGCATGATCTCAGCTCACTGCCTCCTCCACCTCCCAGGTTTAAGCAATTCTCTGCCTCAGCCTCCCAGGTAGCTGGGATTACCGGCGCCCACCACCATGCCTGGCTAATTTTGTTTATATTTTTAGTAGAGACGGGGTTTCACCATCTTGGCCAGGCTGATCTTACCGTACCTGGCCTAGGATGGTCTTGATCTCCTGACCTAGTGATCCACCTGCCTTGGCCTCCCAAAGTGCTGGGATTATAGGTGTGAGCCACTGCACCCAGCTGAGACATCATATTTTAACCTATCAGACCGGCAAACAACACACAAGTGTGACAGCCTACTGTGGTGAGGCGGGCGGGGGTGGGCTAGCAGGAGTGAAGAGGAATCTCATGTTGTTGGTATAAGTATAAATCGCAACCACCCCACGGAGGAAAATTTTGTGGTGTCTATCAAATTACAAATGTACAACATTTTGACCCTGCGATTCTGCTTGTAGGAATTTATCCTCTAGTTATATTAGTATCTGTGCAAAATGACATGAACAGTGTTATCCATGGAAGCATTTGGGCATAATATCAACTAAGAAACAATTTAAATGCCCATCAATAAGTAACTCTTAAAGTAAATTATGGTGCATCTCTATAATGGAATACTATGTAGATGTAAAAATATGAGAGAAATTGATATGAAATTAAGCATTGATATGACATTATTTCCAAGATTTTCCTAGGAAAAAAATAGTATGAAATTCTATCTTTGCTGTTAAAAAAAAAAAAACAACATATATCTAGGTTGGCTTGAATTCTCTAGAGAGATAAAGAAGAAGCTAAAAGATAAGCATGTCTTTTTCTGGAAAGATAAAGAAGAAGCTATAAAGATAAAGATAAAGTGGTGACCTGTTTGGAGGTAGGGCACATGGCAGCAACAGGGGAACAGGGTAGGAGGAAAGCTTTTCATGAACTACCTTTTAATAGAGTTTGATTGGAATTTTGTCTTTTGAATTAGAGGATGAGGATGATGTTAAGTCTCCATGTTTGCGCTCTCCATCTGTGCTCACTCACCCTTGCTTCAGTTTCTTGCAGCTTGGGGTCATGCAGAGAATGGTGAATCCCTGCACCATTTGGATTTAGGTTCTGAGCTAAGCCTCTGCTCTAGCCTGGCCCTCCCAGAGCTACGGTGATTGTCCTGGGCCAGTGATTCTCAATCCAGCCGCGTGCTAGGATCTCCTAGGGAGCTTTAAAAGATCCTGATGCCCAGGCTGCACCCCAGATCAGCTACATGAAGATCTCTGGGTGGGGAGGAGCACCTAGGCATCAGTGCATAACAAAGGTCCCCAGGCCATTCCAATATGCACCCAAGTTTGAGAACCAGTGGCTTGTTTAAAGAATAACTTCCTCATTTCACATGCACTGTCATGCTCTGTCTCTTTCCTTCTCCCTCTGGGACTTCACAGGGCTCTGGAGTGACCAGCAGGGCAGTGTTTAAGCATTTACTTACTCTTGCTCTGACTTCTCTGACTTTAGTAGCCTTAAATACCATGTGAGTCTATCCTGAGCCATCTGTAACTAGACATTGTTACCAAAAAAAAAAAAAAAAGACATTTGAGAGAATATTAGAGTCCTCCAGTTAGAACCAGTTTGATAAATCAAAGATTAATACCATGAATTGAATTTAGAAATTCCTTAAGAAATTTGTGTTAATATACACAGAATATATTTGAATTTATGATGATCTTTATCTTCATTTAAAGCAAGAAATTTGTAGGTGATACAGCAATTAATCAGGTGATAATAGGGCTGAATGTAATATTTTTTCTGACATTTTATTTTTAACACCTTTATTGAGATATAATTCACATACTATAAAATTTACCCACCATACAATTTATGCATTTTAAGTGTACAATCCAGCTTGGCACGGTGGCTCATGCCTGTAATCCCAGCACTTTGGGAGGCAGAGGCTGGTGGATCACTTGAAGTCAGGAGTTCAAGACCAGCCTGGCCAACATGGTGAACCCTGTCTCTACTAAAAATACAAAAATTAGCTGGACGTGGTGGTATGCACCTGTGATCCCAGATACTCGGGAGGCTGAAGCAGAAGAATCACTTGAACCTGGGAGGTGGAGGTTGTAGTGAGCCAAGATCATGCCACTGCACTCCAGCCTGGGTTACCAAATAAGACTCCATCTAAAAAAAAAAAAAAAAAGTGTAAAATTCAAAGGCTTTTAGTATATTCAGAGTTTCACAATCATCTCCACAATTTTAGAACATTTTCATCACTCCAAAAAGAATCCTTGTACTCATTAGCATTCACTTCCCATTCTCCTCCAACTCCCCAGCCCCTGGCAATCTCTACTCTGTCTCTACAGATTTGCTGACTCTTGATCTTTTCTAGAAATAGAATCATATACAATAAGGTCTTCTGTGTCTGGCTTCTTTCACTTATGATGTTTTCAGGGTTTATCCATGTTGTAGTACGTGTCAGTACTTTCTTTTTATTGCCAAATAATATTCCATTGAATAGATATACCATATTTTGTTTGTCCATTCATTATTTAATGGGCTTTCAGGTTGTTTCTGCTTTCTGGCTACTTTGAATAATGCTCATATGAATTTGTGGACATGTTTTCATTTCTCTTGAATATATACCTAGGAGTAGAATTCATCTTATTATAAAATGTTCAAACATACAACAAAGTTGAATTTTACAGTGAATGTCCCTCTAGTCACCACCATAATTCTATTAAAATTTTAATCTTCTTTCGTCACATATCTATCAATCAGCCTTTTTATTTTATTTTTGAGACCGAGTCTTGCTCTGTCGCGCAGGCTGGAGTGCAGTGGTGTGATCTCGCCTCACTGCAACCTCCACCTCCCAGGTTCAAGTGATTCTCCTGCCTCAGCCTTCCAAGTAGCTAGGATTACAGGCGCCTGCCACCACGCCTGGCTAATTTTTTGTATTTTTAGTAGAGACAGGGCTTCACCATGTTGGCCTGGCTGGTCTCGAACTTCTGACCTCAGGTGATCCACCTGTCTTGGCTTCCCAAAGTGCTGGGATTACAGGTGTGAGCCACTGCACCCAACCAAATTTTAGCTTTCTTATTGGGTGTGTGGTGCTCAATGCATTTTTGGACAACAAAAATACTTCAGGTAGTCATCAACAATGACATACCTTCCCTTTACGCATCATTTCATTCTCTGAGAATCAAAGGGCAAGATCCTAGGCCGGACTGAAAATGATTTCAGTCTATGACCTTCTTTTGCTTCCCTCCTAAAGTTCTCCTTTTGAAAGTGAAGTGAAAAATAAATGACCTGAAGTCTTTACTTTTTATCCTATCCTACTTTCTATCCTAAAAAAGTGCATTTTGAATACTTTCTCCAGTTGTCCTAGATTTTTGAATATGGAGGCACAACACAGGATCACGGCTAAGAGGGTGGCCTCTGAAGCTTGACTGAGTCTGAATCTCTTTCTTGACTGTGTACTGTGTGTGACCTTGAGTAAATTACTTAGCCTCTCTGTGTCTCATTTTCTCCTTTGTAAAATGGAAATAATAATACAAGTCCAAAGAAGTTGAAGTTGAAGGTCAAAATCTCAGCACTCTTTTTTTTTTGAGACAGAGTCTGACTCTGTCACAGGCTGGAGTGTAGTGGTGTGATCTTGGCTCACTGCAACCTCTGCCTCCCGGGTTCAAGCAATTCTTGTGCCTCAGCTTCCCAAGTAGCTGGGACTACAAGGTGCATGCCCCCATACCCAGCTAATTATTTTTTTTTTCTTTTCTTTTCTTTTTTTTTTTTTAGTAGAGAGGGGGTTTTGCCACATCGTCCAGGATGGTCTCGAATTCCTGAGCTCAGGCAATCCACCCACCTCGGCCTCCCAAAGTGTTAGGATTACAGGTGTGAGCCACCATGCCTGGCCCAAAATGTCAGCAATTCTAATCAAAATTGTAATATGATTATTTTCAGAACTTAACAAAATGATACTAAAATTCATGTGGGGCTGGGCGTGGTGGTTCATGCCTGTAATCCCCGCACTTTGGGAGGCTGAGGTGGGTGGATCACAAGGTCAGGAGTTCAAGACCAGCCTGGCCAAGATGGTGAAACCCTGTCTCTACTAAAAATACAAAAATTAGCTGGGCATGGTGGTAGGCGCCTGCAATCCCAGGTACTTGGGAGGCTGAGGCAGAATTGTTTGAACCTAGGAGGTGGAGGTTGCAGTGAGCCAAAATTGTGCCACTGCACTTCAGCCTGGGCGACAGAGCAAGACTGTCTCAAAAAAAAAAAAAAAAAAAAATTAAAACATAAATAAAATAAAATAAAATTCATGTGGAAAAACAGACATGTAAGACTAGTTGGGAAAACTTTTGAAATTAACAATAATTATGGGGTACAAGCATTATCAGATAGTAAAATACATTATGAAGCCATAAACACAAACATTTTGGTGACTGGCACAGGGATAGGCAGATGAGTAGAAAAGAATATTTGTGGAAAAGCGGATCCTAAGGTAGGACAAAGTTGGCATTTTAAATTGGTATGGAAGATGAAAGTAAGATGGGTTTTCAAATGGTATCTGCTCAGCCATTTGGATAAAAGATGTTGGAGGCATGTTTCATTTCTCATGCCAAAATAAGATATAGATCAATGATAAAATATAAAAAAAATTAAAGTACAGAAACATGATAATTTTTAAAAACATCTTGCATAGGGAAGACATTTCCAAGCATGATGCAAAAATGTGAAATCATAAAAGTAAACACCAACAAATCCGACAATACAAAAATTAAGAACTTGTTGTGAAAAAGAGTACCGTAGTAAAAAACACAAAAAATATTCACTACATGACAGCAAACAGCTAATTTCCTTAACATATAAAACATTTTGAGAGTTAACGAAAAAAGATAAACAACCCAATGGCAACATGAGCAAAGCACATGAAGGGCAGTTAATGGATAAACGCCAATGGATAATTTTTTAAATAATGAGATTTTGTTTTTGCCTGTAAGACTGACAAATATGCCCGGGCGTGGTGGCTCATGCCTGTAATCCCAGCACTTTGGGAGGGCGAGGCAGGCGGATCATGAGGGCAGGAGATTGAGACCATCCTGGCCAACATGGTGAAACCTTGTCTCTACTAAAAGTATAAAAATTAGCCTGTAATCCCAGCTACTTGGGAGGCTGAGGCAGGAGAATCGCTTGAACTGAGGAGGCAGAGATTGCAGTGAGCCTACATTGCACCACTGCACTCCAGCCTGGGTGACAGAGTGAGACTCTGTCTCAAAAAAAAAAAAAAAAAAAAAAAAGACTGACAAATATTAAGTTTGCCAATATCCAAAGTGGGCTAAAGAATGATTATTCTCAAGCATGGTTAGGGGGTTCATTTATTGTTCCATAGTAAGTCATGCAAAGCTTAATGGCATGAAATTACCAGTTTATTGGACTGGGAATTTGGAAAGAACGTAGGGTTCTTCTCCATCCATGGTGTCCTTAGCTGGTATGACTCAAAAGTTTGGGTGGTTGGAATGGCTGGGAACAGGGACAGTGGGAGCTGAAGAACTCATTCTGAGGTGGCTTCTTCACTCATGTCCTGACACGAGGGATGGGATGGTTGAAAGACCAGCTCATCTGGGACTGTCAAATGGAGTATCTCCAAATGAGCCTCTTGAGTATGACAGTCTCAGGATTGTTGGGACTTCTTACATGGCCACTCAGACTTCCAAGAACAAGTGTATGCAAAGAACAAGTTAAAAGCAGCATGGCTTATTCTGACCTAGCCATGAAAGTCACATCACTTCCACTGTATTCTATTGACTGCAACAGTCACAAGCCTGTCTGGATTCAAAGGGCATAGACATAGATCTGACCTCTCAGTGGGAGGAGTGTACAATAATTTGTGGCCATGTTGTAAAATCTCTGCAGTGGAAGAATACATTTTTTTTTTTTTTGAGACAGAATCTTGCTCTGTCGCCCAGGCTGGAGTGCAGTGGCGCGATCTCGGCTCATTGCAAGCTCTGCCTCCCAAGTTCACGCCTTTCTCCTGCCTCAGCCTCCTGAGTAGCTGGGACTACAGGAGCCCGCCACCATACCTGGCTAATTTTTTGTATTTTTAGTAGAGACAGGGTTTTGCCGTGTTAGCTTGGATGGTCTCCATCTCCTGACCTCGTGATCTACCCGCCTTGGCCTCCCAAAGTGCTGGGATTACAGGAGTGAGCCACCATGCCCAGCGGAAGAATAAATTTTTGCAGTGTCTTTGAAGTACAATTTTGCAATATCTACCAAATCTTAATATACAACTGTTTTTTGAACCAAAGACATCCCACACAGATAGTCCCAGGATTCCTATCCTCTACCTCCCTCACTCTCTCCTTAAGCTATTCTCCATCTGGTTTCTGTCACCAGAAGTACGGTCCCTTCCCTTCCAAGGTCTTGATTCTTTGCAGAAGAATAAGGTCTCACCTCCAGATCCCAACTAATATCTTGTAAGTTCTCCAACCTCAGATGTCTATTTCATGTCAGTTGCTTTCTCTGTAGCTCAGTTTCTGCTGGTTCCATTAAGGGCTGCTGAAATTGAGCTCAAAATCCCAAGATTTCCCACCAACTACACAAGGAGATTCATATTCTTCCTGTTGACACGACTTTGAAACTGCTCATCCTAATATTCTTCCTCCTACCACATTATGCTGTGTTATCTATTGCTGCAAAACAGGTTATTCCAAAATGTGGCATAGAAGAACACTTACCATCTCATGCTTCCTATGGGTTAAGACTCTAGAAATTGCTTAGTTGGGTCCTCTGGCTTTGGGTTCCTCATGACACTGACATCACTTCAAGTCTCAGCTGGAAAGGACTTCTGTATTACACGGTTGTTGGCAGAATTCAGTGCCTCCAGGGCTGTTGGAGTAAGGCTTCCCTCTGTTCCTTGCCACTGTTGGTCCTCCATAGGACATCTTACAACATGGCAGCCAGCTTCATCAAAGCAAGCAAATGAGAGGGCAAGACCGTATCAGTAAGAAGTTACGGGCCTGGTGTGGTGGCTCACACCTGTAATCCCAGCACTTTGGGGGGCCGACGAGGGTGGATCACGAGGTCAGGAGTTCAAGACCAGCCTGGCTAAGATGGTGAAATCCCATCTCTACTAAAAATACCAAAATTAGCTGGGCATGGTGGCGCACACCTGTAATCCCAGCTACTCAGGAGGCTGAGGCACAGAATTGCTTAAATCCGGGAGGCAGAGGTTGCAGTGGCTGAGATTGTACCACTGCACTCCAGCCTGGGCGACAGAGCAAGACTCAGTCTAAAAAAAAAAAAAAAAAAAAAAGAAAAATAAAGTTACGGTGCTCTGTGACCTAATCACGGAAGTGACATTGCCTTCCTTTTCTGTATTCCATCCATTAGCAGTGAGTCACTAGGTCACACTCAAGGCAGGGGGATTACACAGATTGAGCCCACCACAAATGCTACAAGCAGATCTCTTTCCGCCTTGGATTTTAATACAGGCTGCCTCAGTTACTGACAGTGCATACTGTCACGTCCAGAGAGCAGCATCACCCTAAACCCAGATTCCCTGAAAGGTGATATGTTGAAGGGGTGCTATGAAATAAAAAGTGGTGTTTCACTGTGACACGTGATCTCTTAATATAAAAGATTTACATGCCTCCACACACTTTTGTATATGACCAGAAAATTTCTGAAAGACTGTAAAAACTGTTGGGAAAATTATTTCTTTTTTTTTTTTTTTTGAGACAGAGTCTCGCTCTGCCGCCCAGGCTGGAGTGCAGTGGCGCGATCTTGGCTCACTGCAAGCTCCGCCTCCCGGGTTCATGCCATTCTCCTGCCTCAGCCTCCCGAGTAGCTGGGACTACAGGCGCCCGCCACCTCGCCCGGCTAGTTTTTTTGTATTTTTTAGTAGAGACGGGGTTTCACTGTGTCAGCCAGGATGGTCTCGATCTCCTGACCTCGTGATCCGCCCGTCTCGGCCTCCCAAAGTGCTGGGATTACAGGCTTGAGCCACCGCGCCCGGCCTAGGAAAATTATTTCTAAGAAGCGAGATTAGGGATGCAGGAAGGGTTCCTTCTAGGTTTTACTTCCTACTCTTCTATACTGCTTAACTTCTTGACATGTACACACGTTTTACAGTAAAACAGCTAATATTAACAAGAGGAATTGTTAAGAACAGGGTGATTCCTTAATCCAAAAAGATTTTTAAACAACCCATACCACAGCTTGGGATAAAAGGGGGATCTAGGGGGATTATACATTTTTATATTCTGAAAGTTAAGCATAAATGACACACAGTGACAAACACCTAAGTTTTTCAGAAGTTGATTTTCTAGGTTGAGGATTTTCCAGGCCAAGTACCCCTGGCTTTTCAGGGAGAGGAATTTAAAAAGTGCTTTCTGGCCAGGCACGATGGCCTCATGCCTGTAATCCCAGAACTTTGGAAGGCCAAGGCAGGGGGATCACTTGAGCCTATAAGTTTGAGGCTGCAGTGAGCTAGGTTTGTGCCACTGCACTCCAGCCTGGGCGACAGAGCAAGACTTTTTTTTTTCTTTCTTGAGATGAAGTCTCTCTCTGTTGCCCAGGCTGGGGTACAGTGAAGCGATCTCAGCTCACTGCAAGCTCTGCCTCCCAGGTTCACACCATTCTCCTGCCTCAGCCTCCACAGTAGCTGGGACTACAGGCGCCGGCCACCATGCCTGGCTAATTTTTTGTATTTTTAGTAGAGATGGAGTTTCACCGCATCAGCCAGGATGGTCTTGATCTCCTGACCTCGTGATCTGCCCACCTCGGCCTCCCAAAGTGCTGGGATTACAGGCTTGAGCCACAGTGCCCCACCAAGACCCTCTCTTAAAAGAAACAGTACTTCCTATTAGGTTAGGTACCAATCGCAGAATGTTGGTGAGAACTGGGAGGAAACGGAGGAAGTTCTCTAGTGTGACCCCGTCACTTTATAACCTCTTTAACTAGATTCCCAGAACTGCCCCTTCTCCCCTCTCTTTTCCCCCATTAACTCTCTCCCCATGGGCTCCTGCCCTCAGCCTGCAAACCTCCGATTTGCTCCTTTAAGTCACCTTCACAAATGTTGATAATGTTGAGATAAGGCAGCATGGGATGTTATGTATTATGATCATATTGATTAATATGATCAATGTGTTATTATAAGTAGTTTTAAGATCACAACTAAATCTAATTCTAGACATGCAGAGACTATGAAAGAAATGCTGTAACATGTAGAAAACGTTGGTCTTGCAAAGAGGGTGACCGGGAAAATGTCACTCTTCTAATTTTCTGTGCTATGATTTTTTGCTCTTATTATTTTTATTTTTTTGAGACGGAGTCTCACTTTGTTGCCCAGGCTGGAGTGCAATGGCATGATCTCGGCTCACTGCAACCTCTGCCTCCCAGGTTCAAGCGATTCTCATGCCTCAGCCTCTTGAGTAGCTGGGACTGCAGGCGTGCACCACAACGCCCAGCTAAATTTTGTATTTTCAGTAGAGACGGGGTTTCCCCATGTTGGCCAGGTTGGTCTCGAATTCCTGACCTCAGGTGATCCACCTGGATCAGCAAGTAACACCTGAGAGCTTGTTAGAAACAGTCTCATACATACTGAATCAGAATCTGCATTGCAACAAGATTCCCTGGTGATTCAGGTATACATTAGAGTTTAAAAAGCAGCCTACAGCAATTGTTCTCAAACCTGACTACACGTTGGAATCACCTGCGGAACTTTGCTGATGCTGATGCCTGGGTTAGAATCTTTATATATTTGGCTGGGGTGCAGCCAGGGTGTTGGTTTTTAATCGCAGGTGACTCCATGAGTTTGAGACCCACTGTCCTAACACCGTGGGCCTCCAAGTGTGATCCCAGGACCAAAGCAACACCACTATCTGGGAATTTGCTAGAAATGCAAACTCTCAGGCCCCACCCCAAACCTACTGAATCGGCAGCTTTGGGGCTGGAGCCTGAGAGTCCTTTAGCCCTGCAGGCGATGAGCAAGCCCTGCTTGCTAAGGTTTCATTAGGTAGGTCGGGGATGGGGCCCAGTGTTCATTTCTTGACGTTTCCAGGGGCTGCTGCTGCTGGTCGTGGTCTGAGAGCCACACTTAGAGAATCACGGGCAGAAAAAAATCTGATGTGACACACAGCTGGTTGGGCTGACAGAGCCAAGCCTCAAACCCACCATTTCTTCTCTTTAACCACAGACCACCAAATCTGCAAGTGTTAAATCTCTGCTCCTCCCCGGGAGCTGCCCACAAGCACCCCCGCCCGTACTTCCAAGACCCCTGTTCTTGTCTCAACCCGCCCTTCTGTCAGGGTCCCTACACTCCACTTCTGCTCCTGTCCAGCTGTGAGTTCACTTGAGGCCTCTCCCGTGAAATCCGCCCTCTGGGTTTGAGGTCAGGGAACTCCTGTAAGACGCAAAAGGCCCAGGGTTCTGAGCCAGTGGCCTCCGAAGGCCGGAATCCGCTAGCCCCGGGTCTGGCAGAGCGTCACTTGCTGCGCCCTAGGCCTCTTCCCGCTACGCTTAGAGAGAAGGACTGGAGGCTCAGAAGGGGGTGGAGAAGGTAACGCGGCAGCTGCTGTGTGGGGACGATGACTGTGCCCCTAGATTGCTGCCTCCTGGGTCCTGAATCTTGCTCCCCGCTCCGTGGAGTTCCCGAAACCCCAAAGGCACTCAAGCACCACAAGCCACTCCTAACCTCCCCCACCCATTCCCCAAGAGCACTGTCCCCCGAGGCTGGGCGGGCGGGAACTGTCATGGGATTCGCTCGGGCGGAGGGCGCTGGCCCAGGACGTGGGCGGGCGCGGGGTGGCCGCCGCTCCCCCGAGCTTAAGTCCCGTGCAGCCCGGGGTGGTGCCGGAAGCCCGTGCCTGTGGCTCCGGGGGAGGGGAGGGCTCGGTGGGTCCCTGAAGACGGTCCTCCCCGCGCGACGTCGCAGACGAAGCAGCCCCAGGCAGGACTTCAAAAAGCGACCTGCAGAGTCCGAGCCCCTGACCGCCTGCCTGCCGCTCCCGGCTTCGCCGTGCACGCGTCTCCCGCTCTCCCCGGTTCGTTTTTCGCCACAGCGGCCGGATTCGCGTCTCGCCGGTAGCGCTCCCCGCGCTCGGTTTGGTAGCGCCGCGCGGAGCCCGGCCCTGGCTGGACGCCCAAGAGAGGCGCAGATCCCCGGTGGCGCGCTGGGCTCAGGAGGCCCCTGGGCGCACCTGCCCGAGCGGAGCGGGGCGGGCGCAGGGCGCGGGCCCGGACGCTGGAGGGGGCTGTGGCTCTCCCGCGTCCCCGCCACTCGGGCTGCGCGGCGCCCGCCTCCCCCCGCCGAGGGGCCGGCCCAGACCCGGGGAGGGGCGGCGGCCACAGCACTTCCCGCTCGCCGGCCTCGGAGGCGGCGGGTCCGGCGCGGGCGCAGCGGTGCGGGCGCTCGGCTGGGGCGCGGGGCGGGGACGCGGCCGCCGCCCGCTTTGCGCCGCTCCTCCCTGCGCGAGTGGCGCTGCCCCCGGCGTCTAGCCGGCCATGGCGACCCGGAGCCCGCTCCCCACCCACCCCGCCTGCTCCGCCCTCCCCTCCGCCCCGCGCCACCTTTGATGGCTCGGACCTCGGCCGGCCACCGCCAGCCCCGCTCGCGCGCCCGCGCCGCCGCCGCCGCCGCCCGCGGGTATTAATAGCCGGCGCCGCCGCGCCCTCGGCCGCCGGAGGCTTGGGAGCCGCTGAGCCCGGAGCCCGAGCCGGGAGAGGGAGCCGCCGCAGCCGCCGGCGCTGTGGAGGTAGGAGGCGCGCGGTGAACAATGACCGCGGCGGGAGGGCGGGGGCCGGCGGGGTCCGGGCCGCGGGCTGCAACTTGTGCGAGTCCAGGCTCCCGCAGCGCACGGCCGGGGCCGCGGGCGAAGGTGGGCGCGTGGTCCCCGGGGTCCTGCTCCGCGTAGTCGGGCGGCGGGCCGGGCCCGGGCAGCCCTGGCCACCATCGCAGGAGCTCGGGGGCCTCGGGGCTCCGCGCCGCCCCCTGCGCCCCTCTCCCCTCACCTCCGCCGACCTGGGGCTGCCGGTCTCCGCTAGCCTCTCCCGACCCTGGCGCCCTTCCCCCGCTTCCTCCCGTCCTACCCGCCCGCTGACAGCGCCGGACGCCGCTTCCGGACCTCGGGCCGCAATCTCGGCCCGTGAGGCCGGTTGCGGGCCGGGGAGGTGGCCGCTGGCGTGGTTGCCACCGCGCCGCCGGGTGCCCGCCGCTCGCCCACGCGCGGCGCGAGGTTCCCGGCGGGTGACAAAGAGGAACACACCCTCTGCCCAAGTTAAATTTGTGTCTCTCTTTACTGTCTGCCTTTATGCAGGGCAAAGTTTTTATTTTTTATTTTTTGAAGCAAAGGACAGATTGTTTTGCAGCGAGCATTTCCAAACAACTTCTGATTGTGGTTTTACGATTCAAGTTCCGGAAACTTTAGCTGTGTGATCCGGCTGGACCCCAGAGACTGTGTGTGTGTGTGTGTGTGTGTGTGTGTGTGGTTTTATTTGAGGGGGGAAATATGAGTTCCCTGTAATGAGTCTGGATCTCGTTTGTGGCAGCTGGAGACCAGCGGCTGTTGGGGATCGAGTAGTGTTCCCCAGAAAGGAGGGAGCCAAGGCTCACAAAGAAGCGAGGCCCTGGTGTCTGATCAGCTCGTGGAGACGTGGGAGAGCCTGCTTCTCATCTGGAACAGTTTAGCAGCCTTGGCCTCCCTCTCTCTCCCAGCCATGGGGAGTACCGGTGGCCTCTGGTCGTTTTAGTTTATTTTGTTAAGGCCGTTCTCTTTGTCAGTTTACCAGGTTTGACCGCCCAGCCCTGGCCTCTGCATGGAAACCTCTGGGCGCCCCTCTCCTTCCAGTAGGCAGCATCTTCTGAGCCAAACCCTGGCCTAGCACTGGATTCCGTTTAATTTGCTTTGCACGTGGTGACTTGCGGAGCCCATTTCAGAACATCCTCCAGCATTGTCTTGCTTTTCTTATTCAGTCTGAACAAGGGGAGGAGAAAGAAATATCTTTCTGGTCCTGAAAGCTTTAGGGGAGTTGCCTTAAAAATTGGCTTCGTTGTTCCGGAGACTTTAGGAGGGCCCTGTTTCATCCTCTCTTTGGCTTGCTCCCTCCTTCCACAGTGTTCTTGTAGGGGGTTTATTCTCAGTCTTTCGGATGGGTTGGCCTCCAGGATGTGACAGTTTCTGACAGTGTGCTTCATAAGTGGGTACAGCTAGCACATGGCTCACTTTATATTCCTGCAGCATCGTTCTGCAGCAAGGCATCAATATTGGAGTTACTCCAAGCACAGCGAAGCGTTTGTGTTTTTAGAATGTCTGGCTAATAGATCTGCTTCTGGGTAAAATAAATAGAAGCATTATTGGGCAGTGGCTGCTTTACTGAGGGAATTGTTGGTGGAGACAGCGAGTAGATGCCTTCCTAGCCCAGTGCCTCCCGGAATCTCTTACTTGTTTCTTTTATGTGAACGGGAAACTAGAAATACTTGGTGTGCAGGTAGCTGTGCCTCCTAGAGGCAGGGATTCTATGGTGTCCGCATCCTGTCCCCCCCCCCCCCGTTATTTGGGGTGTGGTGTTTCATTGAGAAGTTCTGTCATTGTGGGAATCCTTTGGAAGTTTGGTTTATAATGCCCCCTTTCATAGTGATATTATCTTCCTTGAATTGATACAGGGATGGATTTATTCCTTGGTTCATAATAGAATGCTAACTTTGTAGCCAAACTTATCAAAGAAGATCTTTAAATAATTTATCCCGGAGAAGTTTCTTACTGGGCTATTGCATTCACCTCAAAATTATCCTGAGTTTGCAAGGAACCTGGAGGAATGTTTTTGTTTCACTTTTCATTAAACTGTCCAAGGGGGCTGGGCGTGGTGGCTCACACCTGTAATCCCAGCACTTTGGGAGACCGAGGCAGATCACTTGAGATGACCAGTTCCCAGCCTGGCTAATATGGTGAAACCCCGTCTCTACTAAAAATACGAAAATTAGCCAGGCATGGTGGCAGGCGTCTGTAATCCCAGCTGTTCAGGAGGCTGAGGCAGGAGAATCACTTGAACCCAGGAGGCAGAGGTTGTAGTGAGCTGAGATCGGGCCACTGCACTCCAGCCTGGGTGATAGAGTGAGACTCTGTCTCAAAAAAAAACAAAAAAAAAAAAACAAAAAAAAGGAAACTGCCTAAGGAAATTTTGTTTTGTTTTGCTTTTTGGTTAAAGATACAAATTAAATATAGCATTGAAAGAGGTAGTTTTTTTTTAAACAGTGAAGCTTATACTCATTTAATTTATTGAACATATAATAGCTTAATTCATTTGGAAAAGTGTAATACTTAGGAGGAGGATGCTTGTGATAAATATCAGAAAAAAGAACTCTTTTCACCCTGGAGGGGATTAGAGAATACTAGAGAAAGGATAAAAAGCTGGTTTCTGCAAGCAGAATAGACTTAGGAAAAATGGCATTGTGATTTTCCCAGAGGATAAGAGAAATTCTATGGATTTGTAAATACTGTACTTGCCTGATTTTTTTTTTTTTTTTTGAGATGGAGTTTTGCTCTTGTTGCCCAGGCTGGAGTGCAATGGTGCAATCTCGGCTCACTGCAACCTCTGCCTCCCAGGTTCAAGCAATTCTCCTGCCTCAGCCTCCGGAGTAGCTGGGATTGCAGGCATCCGCTACCATGCCCAGCTAATTTTGTATTTTTAGTAGAGATGGGGGGGGGGGGTTTCTCCATGTTGGTCAGGCTGGTCTCGAACTCCTGGCCTCAGGTGATTTGCCTGCCTCGGCCTCTCAAAGTGCTGGGATTACAGGCGTGAGCCATGGAGCCCGGCCTTGCCTGATGTTTTGATAGCATGGTGGACTGGACATTTTAAAGAAGCCCTTTGTAACTGGCCTGCCTTACTGCAGATAACTGCTTAGTGTTTTTAAGAAATGCACTTTCCTCACCAGCTGAAGGTGCTACAGATAAGAGGGGCAGATATAATCCTGTAATGTAGGTGCTAGAGTCTTTCTACCTTGGGTGCACAGGTATTCCCTGTATTGGTGACCACTTGCCTGGGAGGGGAGGGTGTGGGGTCTTAGGCGCTTGTGGCAGTCTCTCTCCTATTTGCTGCTTTTGATTGAAAGGAGCCTCTCCAAGCCTTGCTATTGAATGGGAAGCAGTGGATCAACTTTTCTTGCCTTTTAGTGTCAGAGTTTATTCTGTGGTGGTACTGGGTGGCAGTCCTCTTTCTCTCTGTTTCAGCCATGGTGACTTAGGTAGGCTGTTACCTCCTTAACCACTTCCACATGGCCCGGCAGATCAGTGCCAAATGGTTTTCATTCAAGTTACTTCAAATCCTGATTTCTCCAGTCCCGTTCTGCCAAATGCAGCCTTTGTTTTTAATCAAGAAGCCCCCAGAAAACGTGTATTTAAAACTGGCAAAACTTTTTATAGGATGCCCTTGCCCTGGTTTGAGTTAGTTAAAAATGTTTGGCCAAGTGGATACTTTGAGCAAAAGTGGATAATTCATACATTACTAAAATATCATGCTTGGAGCTTTTGATACTAATCCAGCGACACTGAAACTGAGGCATGCTCAGTGCTGCCTGCAAACTATTAACTCAGATTGTAAGTTTTCTTAGTTTAATGTGGGTGGAAATTATAGACAAACTTCAAGACTTGCAATTAATGTGGGAATTCATCATTTACACTGAATTTCATATGTAAGACTGTCATATTTGTTCATACATTTAAAAAAGCCTCAGGCCACACTAGACTGCCTTTAACTCTCAATTATGATGATAACCTCTGACCACAAGAGTAACTTCACTTTATGTGCAGACTTTTGACGAAATGTTTTGCATAAATTATCAATTAGAAGACTTAAAAATCCAGTATTATGATGACTTTCAGTTTTTGTTCTTATTCATTTAGGATCTAGTATAGTATTTGAATATAGCAAACCCTTGATAAATTCTTGTGTTCTGTTTTCTTTTTGAAAGAGGGTCTCACTCTGTCACCAGGCTGGAGTGCAGTGGTGATCATGGCTCACTGCAGCCTCGAACCTCGAGCCTTGAACCTGTTGGGCTCAAGTAATCCTTCTATCTCAGCCTCCCGAGTAGCTGTGACTACAGACGCATGCCATCGCACCCAGCTAATTTTTTCTTTAAAAATTTTTTCTTAGAGTCTCACCAATATATTGCCCAGTCTGGTAAATCCTTGTTGAATGAATAATAAATCCAGTTTTTACCATCCCTTCAAATTAGTCTTTAGGGTTTTTAAAGGAAACTTGTTATTAGAACTGATAGATTGCAGTTCTGGCAGTTTGATATTTGATTTTGTTTTCATTTCATTCTGATTCAGCAATTTAATCCTTAAAGCTGAGTCAGATTGTAAAAAGACAGAGGTTCCTTTTAAAAAAAGACAGTAAGGTGAGGTGGCTCACACCTGTAACCCCAGCACTTTGGGAGACCGAGGTGTGCGGATCACCTGAGGTTGGGAGGTCAAGACCAGCCTGACCAACATGGAGAAACCCCGTCTCTACTAAAAATACAAAATTAGCCGGGCATGGTGGCACATGACTGTAATCCCAGCTACTCGGGAGGCTGAGGCAGGAGAATCGCTTGAACCCGGGAGGTGGAGGTTGTGGTGAGCTGAGATTACGGCCATTGTATTCCAGCCTGGGCAACAAAAATGAAGCTCTGTTTCAAGAAAAAACAAAACAATAAAAGCATGAAGAAGAAAGTAAAACAAACTAGAAATCCTACCGTCTGTTACTGACTCCTACCTTAGCATTTTGGCATCTGTTCTTTTATATAGCCTTCTCATTTCTTAACCTCCCCCAAATTTGACATTATACGTGTTTTATATAGTACTTGTCTGTAAATTGAATGTGCTCACCGTTCCTTTTTGTACTTTGAAGCTTGCCTTCTGGGATACATTTTCCTTCTTCCTGAGATCCATCTTTTAGAAATTCTGTTAGCATCTGTTGGTGGTAACTTCAGTTTTTGCATGTCTTAGATATCTTTGTTCTTGAATGGTAAATGTATCTAGTTGTGCAATTCTGTATTGTTCCTGTATTAATCAGCTGTGTTCTGGTCCCATTCCTATTGCTGTCTAATTATTTGTAAGTAGTCTGTCTTTTCTCTCTGGCTACTTTTAAGATCCTTTGGTGTTCTGCAGTCTGGCTATGACATGTCTAGGTATTTCTTCTCTCCTTTACTTTTTTTTTTTTTTTTTTTTTTTGAGTCAGGGTCTCACTACCGTTGCCCAGGCTGGAGTGCAGTGGCATGATCTCGGCTTAC